CCGCAACGTGTCCCTGGACAGCCTTGCCTTCGCCACCAACTTCAGCACGGTGAGGAGGGGCAGGGTGCGGGGCAAGGGGTGCCCAGTGGCTCCCACTCCGGTCCCCCGCAGCCCTCTCACCCAGGCTCGTCCCTGCAGATCCCCGGGGTGGAGCAGCAGCTGGAAGCACTGCGTGATGTGTCCGACTCCAACGTAGCGGCCGATTTAGAGAAGGTGAGGGGTGTTCCCCCGCTCCCGGGTGCAGCGCTGGGTGCTCCTACTGCTGCTGGGGCTGTGCTGCGAGGGATGGCTTGGGAAGAGCCTCACTGGGAGCTGATTGCTGTCACATGGAGGGAAGGGCTGGCTGGAGGTCAGCCTTGGCCAGAGCCCGGCCACTGTCCCCACCACCCCTGGGCGCTGGCGTGGTGGACTGGGTGCTGCGGGAAGCCTGGCTGTCCTGTGCACCGGGATCTGGGGACGGAGAAAATGTGCTGCTCAGCCCTAGGTTGTGGGCAGGGACATGAGCTCTATGCTGTGCCTCCCTGGACGCAGGTTAACAGCACGCTGGACATGATCCCTGCCAAGGTGCAAGAGCAGTCCCAGGACGTGGTGACAGGTGAGCAGGGCTTTGTGCCCAGTGTGCCGAATTGCCCCTCTCCCAGGGCTCCATACTCCCTTCTCATCCCACGCCTGCCTGGAGACCTCCCCTCCTGCCACTCCTCTGCCTGCAGCCCTGGCTGTCCCCAGCTCCCTATGTGCTATCATGCACATCCATCCTTGACCAAAGCCACCCCCTTCCCATCCTCTCCCAGTCCCTGCTGCTCTAGGCAAGCAGGACCTGGGCAGCAGTTCACAGCAGTTCTCTTCATCCCCTGCAGAGACCCAGGACAAGCTCGGCCTTATCAGGCAGGAGATCAGGAGCTTGCAGGAGCAGCTGCCGCTCCTGGACGGGGAGGAGAACATCGGGGCCTTTGTGCGCAATGCCATGTTGGTGCTGGAGGAGTACAGGGAGCCAATCATTGCCTTGGATGGGCTGAGGTAGGCGAGGGGCTGCTGCATTCCCTGGCTCCCTTGTCTGGAGAGGCTCAGGCTCTCGATTCTCCAGTTGCTGGAGTTGGGGCTTGCTCAGTGGTGGGGCTGTGGGTGCAGGGTAGCCAGAGCTGTGCCTTGCACGCACCCGTGCCCCTTTTCTGCCAGGGTGCCTGGGGGCTTTTTCCCCCCCAGAAGGCAGCTGATGGGACACTGGGCACTGCTTGGGGTGCCAGGTCCTGCTGTCTGACTCCTGCCCCTCCTCTTGCCCCAGGTGGAGGGTGTGTGTCCTCCTGTGCTGCATGGTGCTGCTGGTGGTCCTCTGCAACGTCATCGGGCTGCTGCTGGGGCCCCTGGGGCTGAAGGAAAGTGTGCTGCCCACCCAGCGCAGCAGCCTCTCCCACGCTGCCGGGAACTTCTTCATGGCGTGAGGCTCCCTCGGCTGCGGAGGACACGTGTGGGAGCAGTGGGATGGGTGGGCAGGGCTGGCCTGGGGATGCTCAAGCTCCTAAATGATCAAATTACTGTGGCTTAATGGCCTGCCCCATGGCAACTCACTGTGCAAGTGGTAAAGGTGAGGGTGAAACATGGTGCTGGTGAAGGGCGTTTGAGTGGAGCCCATTCTCCCGTTGCTGGTGGGGGCCTGGCAGTGCATGTGTGCTCCCGCGGTTCTGCGGGTGAGTGGTGGCTTGCAAAGCTGGGGGAAGCCATGTCGGGGGCCGAGCCCTAGGGTATGGGAATGGTGGTGCTTCCTGGCATCGCTGAGGTGGACGAGGGGTGTGCAGGCTCCGGGCTCTGCGAGCTGGAGGCAATGCTGGCGTCAATGCCGGGACATGGGGCCTTGAGTGCTGATGGCACCCCTGTCCCGGCAGAGGGGTCGGCTTCAGCTTCATCTTCTCCTGGCTGCTGATGCTGCTGGTGCTGATCACCTTCGTGCTGGGGGGGAACATCTACATGCTCGTCTGTGAGTCCTGGCGCAGCCAGCAGCTCTTCCAGGTGAGCTCCCTGTGAGGACACACCTCTGCCCAGAGCCACTGCCACCTTTTGGAGGGCTACTGTTGGAGCGGAGGCAGCGCTGGCCAGTTTGGGATGCTCTTCTTAGGTGTCCTGCCTTGCACAGTGTCTAGTTTCTCCACCTCTTTCCTTGCTCTCAGCTTCTGGACACCCCTGGCGTGATCCCTGGCTTCAGCCTGTCAGAGCTGCTGGGTCAGAAGGGTGGCACAGCAAACTTCTCGGAGATGTACAGGTGGGTCCCAGCCCCGCCACCACATTTTTAGGGAGGAGTACAGCTGCTCAGCACCCTCTGATGCTCCCCTGGATGGGATCAGCTTGCCCTACCTTCCCTGGGTGCAGGCAGGTGCTGAAGCCAGGGAAGGAGCGAGGTGCAACTTGCCCATATGGGTGAGGACGCGATCCCGGGAGGGGGGTGGCACTCACCCACCCCTTTTCAGCTCCATGTCCCCCTCCTGCAGGCAGTGCCAGCGAGACGCTGCCCTATGGCAAATGCTGCACCTGGACCAGAGCGTGTCCCTGGACGAGCTCTTGAACATTAGCCAGGTGAGTGTGGAGGTGCCAGGGTCTGAGGGGCAGAGTTGGGGTGCAGGGCTGGCACTGGGGGGACAGTGAGGGGTCAGCACCGTGCCCCATCACAGCTCCCCTCACTCCTGCAGTACACAGGAGAGATCTCCACGGCATTTGAGAAGATGAATGTCACCCTTAGCCCCATCTCCCTGCTCAAACAGAGCCAGAAAGACATGCTGTTGAATGCCAGCCGGGCTGGGCAGCCCCCCAACTTCACCCTCACCCTGGAGCAGGTGAGCTAGGGGCAGCCTGGTGTTGGGATGGGAGGGTCCGGATGTGTGTTGATGGAATCCACTGCCTCCTTCCCTTTGCTGCTGTGGGAGTCCCACCAAAGGCTCTAGGGGTGTCCCCTGCCATCCGTGTCACCCCCTGGGGCAACCGGGCACCTCCTCCACCTGCGAGGCCCTGGCTCTGCTCTGCTCTGCAGGGACCAGGTACGGCCCCCCCATGAACCCCTTTCCCCATTCTCACAGCTCTGTCTCTGCCTTTTCCAGCTGGATCAGAACGTGACCCAGGAAAGCCTCCTGGAGCTGGCCGCAGAGCTGGAGCAGCTGGCCGACAAAGCGGTGAGAGACCATGGCACCCTGGGGACACCCCCGAAGCCACTGGCTGCAGGGGCTCGTCCACAGACCTGCCTGGGTGCCAAGGGAAGGAGAGGCCCTTCACCCTCCCCCAGCTGTTTTCTCCAGCCTGGCCCCCCATCAGATGGCTGTGGTGGGGCAGGGACCCTGTGCCAGAGGGCATCACTGACTACAGCTCCTCCAGGGCGAGGACGTGAAAGAGGACCTGAAGGCTGATGCTGTCAAGCTGAGGGAGCTGGACAAGGAGATGCAGACGAGCTTCTCTGGGCCGCTGGTGAGCGATGCCAGGGTGGGCAAGGTCCTAGGGGTGCTGGCTTGGGCTCTCCCAGAGTTCAGAGCCTGCTAGCAAAGTCTTAGCTGAGCTGTGGGTCTGTGCCTCTGACCCCCCTCTCTCCATCCCCAGCAAAGCCTTAAGGAGAACATCCACTTGGTGCAGAGCAGGGCTGCCCATATCGAGGTAAGGTGCACAAGGGGCCTCCTGAGCACACCCGGGTCTGGGACACCCTGCAAGGTGCCCTTGAGGTTCCACAGTGGAGATGGTGGGGGTTAATCTGCAGTCTCTGGGGCTGGTGGCTGCTGTGGGACACCCCAGGCAAGCACTGTCGGGAGTGCTTATGGGGCAGAGGGAGGGGGCATACCCCACAAACTCTGCCAGGCACAGGCTCTCCCCACCCAAGTACTCGGACACTACCAGCATCTGACCGCTGGGGACACCATGGCTCAGAGACGCTGCGCCCCAGGGATTGCTGCTGGGCCAGGTGGGGGAGATGTGGGGACCCCACTTCCCCGTCACACTGCTGAGGGCTCCTTTGACCCCAGGCACAGACAGAAGCTGCGCTGGACAAAGCCACTGAAAGCCAGGAGTTCCTGGAGAGGGAGACAACAAACATCATCAAGAACGTGAGCTCACCTTGCTCTGCTGCTGGGCCACTGGTGGGGAGGTGACCGGACCCCCACACCAAGACCTCCTTCCATGCAGGGCTGCCAAGCGATGTCCAGCTGCTTGTCCTGCCCTGTCGTTTTCCCTGAGGGTCCACCCCTCCTCTTATGGCACCCCAGACAAGGGGCTGGGGTGCGGCTTGCAGCCCCATTGATGCTGGGTTGAGGTGGTCAGACAGCCCTGATCCTGACACAGAGGAGATGTGGGGCATGGAGTGGGCTGAGGGTGCAGCGTCTCCACTCTCTGCTTGCCTCCGCAGGAGACGTGGGCCTTCCTGGAGGAGCTGTTGGACTTCTTTGAAACGTACATCTCCTGGGCCAAAAGCAGGGTGAGTTGAGCCTTCCTTGGTGGGGTAGAGGGAAGGGGAGAACAGGCTGCAGGGTTCTGGGGATGCTGACATGTCCTGTCCCCACCGTGTCCCCAGCTGACGGGAGACGTGGCACGTTGCAAACCCATAGCTCAGACCTTTGATAGCATGGAGGCCATCACCTGTGATTATATCCTGGACTCTCTGGTGAGTGGAGCAGTGGTGTGTGGGGTGACGTGTGTGTGGGGTGGCGATGAGGTCCCCTTGTCCCCCTCATGTACAGGATGAGGGGTACCCACCTATATCCCAAGCAAGCAGAGCTCAGCATCTCCCCAGTGGATTGCTGTGGCTAAGAGCAAAGGCCAGGCTGTGAAAAGAGCGGGGGTGGGTGGGCGGTCTTTGGAGGGGCCTGGGAGTGGAAGAGGCTCTCCCAGTTGCTCTCTGGGCCCTGATGGCTCTCCCCCAACACCCAGAACACCTTCTGGTTCAGCCTGGGCTGGTGCACCTTCTTCCTGCTGCCCAGCATCATCCTGGCCGTGAGACTTGCCAAGTTTTACCGCCGCATGGACATTGCTGATGTCTACAGGTGAGACCGTGCTGGATCTAAGGTCTGCCCCCGTCCCTGTGCACTGCAAACTGCCCCTTCCTGTGCCCCGTGGCAGCCCATGGGGCTGATCCTAAAATAATGTGGGCACGAGGGGCACCATGGAGGTGGCTTGGGACCTTCAGTCTCCAAAAACGGAGATGCTTTGGAGAAGAGCCTGGCTCTGCCTGCTTGGCAACCCTCTTTTGGGCAGCTGAAGGTG